CCCCAAAACCCCAAAACCCCAAAACCCCGACAGAGTTAATTAATAGCAATTTAAGAAATTAAAATTAGTATATCTGAAATCAAAATTTTTAATAAATTCCTAAAAACTAAGGTGGCTCATTAATATTCAAATCCTTCTCATAATTATATATCAGAACTTCTTCTGCTTCATGATTATTTAATATTTATTCATCAACTCTCATAGCTTAAGAGTAGTGCACCTTCTTAAGCATTCTTTCGACTCTCCAGCTAATTATCTGCAGACCATATAAGCACTTGCTTTTCTTGTGGTTGACTTTAATCTGAGCGAGATCAATTCCAGTCTAGTCTTAATCCCCATTGATTGCTAGCTGCTGCAACAACTTCTTAATGCAAGTTGCAGTCATTGAGACTAGTTTAAGACTCTAATCAAGTCTTTGCTTGGCTTATTCCTTCCTAATCTCAGCCTACCTAATTAAATGCTCTATATTGTCTTGGTCGTCTTGGTATACAAACTAGGATTCAGAGTTTCCGCATTCATTACTGCCTTAGTTATCATTACCATCAATGATCATTTAATGCTCTGATTACTGATTCCTCTGTAGACTCATTATACTCGCTACGTTATGCAGCTTAAACATCACAGGAACACCCCCAGATGGCAGTCCTGAGTTATTTAACTTAGATGAGTCTATTCTTTGCAGGCCATCCGTCTTGTCGTTTGTCAATATAGATTTTTGAAGTGTAAATAGCACTGATTTCTGTAGCTTTAGTTCTCTGAGTTTGTTTCTTTGGGAGTCAACCCCTTACTTAAGCTCATTAATTCGCTCCTCAAGCCCCTGCTTCTCGATCTATACTTTTTCATAATGCGATGGTATGTCTAATAACTCCTTGACATTAGTAACCTCGAGCAGTCTCTGATAATCCTACTCGTATTTATAAAGCATTTTCTCAACTATATTAGCATACTGCTGCACTTTATACTGTAATGTAAGTGATTGCTCTATCTTGGCGTGATCCTTCAAGTAGTCCTTACCTTGCTACTCCTGCTTCTACTCTTTTTATAGCTAGATTTGGCCCAAGCCCATAAGTGTATTGTATTCCAAGAATTGCTAGGCCTGCTTCTTGGTGTACTTATCGTGCTTCAAGCGATGGCCTTTTTCAATGTCTCTTTCAAACTTGAATTCCTTTATTTATTTGTAAACTGCGAATGTCTCAGCATCGTACTGCTTTTGATAGTCATCTTATCTTTGCGATTTCTTTATTATTTTCTTAATTTCTATATTAATAGTGTCAATTTTAGGTCTATCTGTGATCAGATCCACTTCTACTCTTTCTTTAAATTTCATCAACTAATGCTGAGTCATGTATTAGCTTAGAAGCTCCTAGTTTACTTCTAATATTTTTACTCTTAACTCTCGAGCTCTTGCAAAAGCGTCATAATCTACATAGTCAAGAATCACTTGTTTATGAGTGTACTTATTTTATAGCTCTATGGCTTGTTTCTACACAAATATCTGATTAGACTTGTACTCATTAATCACTGCCTGCTTCTCTCTGACTTACTGCCCCCTCTACTCCCTTATGTCTTTGCCAATCAATTAGTCATTCTCTAATTCATCGATTCGATCAAGAATTTCCTCCAGATCCTAGTTATTGTAAGACTTCAATATCTCCTCTTAGAATTCCTTTTTCTGCGTTAAATAACTCTCAGCGAATGTATCAATATTTGTAGACTCTGATCTCTTTAGATATAATCTATTGCCAATCTACGACTTTGGTCTTGACATCAAAGTCCTAGATGAAGGAGATGCAATTGAGTTGATTGTTGAATATAATTACTGCTTGATTGGCTATGCTAATTTCATGTTACGCTCATTGTTCAGACAGGTGATAAGCATCTTCTCCTGGAACTCACGAAGCTCCTTGGTTTCAACAATCTCAGGTTTTTTATTCATAGTTTGATAGAGTTGCTTCATGCCATCGTATTTTTAAATTAACTTCTTATTAAATGTGGGAGTTTTGGGTCTTTTGGTAAAATACTGCAAGCTTGAAGTAGGTAATTATCTGGAAGTAGGCCTCGCTGTCATTAACACTTCAGTCAAAAACATTCCTGATGGATTTTTATCATTGACTGTTCGGTGTGATGTTTATTTATCCATTTAAAATTTTGAAAATAAAATTATCAAAACTCTAATAAAAACCACTAACGCTATAGACGTAAATTATAAGAGGGATGGGGTTTTGGGGTTTTGGGGTTTTGGGG